TATTCATAAAGAAGCTATTGAGAGGGCTATGATCAGAGTTACGCTGCTTTATAGAATCAGTAATGATGATAGCTGATGAAAAATTAGAATGCTGAAATACTTTAAATAGCATGAGATTGATGTACCTTCTTATTTATTTATTTATTTAAAGGAACACCAACAGCATATTGCATTATAACACATATAACAAACATTAAATATAATACAATATTAATGCACATGCCTATTAAAGGTATTCACAGCGATTTTTCTTAACAGATAACTTTCTGAACCCAGAAGTAAATTAACAAAAATGACGATATAATAATACTTGTAAACAAGTCTATTTGAATAAAGATGATTTGAATTTGATGATGTAAGATATTAAGAAGGTAATTCAAGTAAGTAAAAAGTGCAATACTGCAGTCCTCTGCAGCTAACCGTCGTGCATTTTTCAAGGCACTTTCTTCCATGCACAACCACTCTTTGGAATCAACTTCCAGCGGCAGTATTTCCGAACCGATACGACAACATAACCTTTAGGAAAAGAGCATATTCCTTTTTAAAAGGCCGGCAGCACACCTGCAATGCCGCTGGTGTGGTGGATGATCATGGGCGGCGGTAGTCACTTACCATCAGATGAGCCGCATACTCATTTGCCCCCTGTGTTGTAAAAAAAAAAGCTAAATTTGTAAGCGAGAATAGTAACAAGTCAATTGCTATTTTTGTTAATTGCAACTGAAATAATCTAATAAAAAACGAATACAGAAGAATACTAACAATTTTCAACGATGTCGAGGAAAGAGAAAAAAAAAATTGGGAAAATGAAGTTGCTATAATTTCGCTACACAAAAGTTCATAGGTCGTTCCCATCACCGAAAATACAGTGAAGTTAACCCACTTCAGAAAACATTCCTATTTGTCGGCCATTAATCTTTTTTCAGCAAGTTACAAAGCATTCAGCATGTCCTCTTGTACTCCACCCCAATACAAAAGTGACAAGAGGCGGTATAAAGACATAGGGAGTTTGGAAGTGGCCGTTTAATGATCTGACCTATATTTAATCTAAAAAACGAAGGGTGAAATCTAAATTATTGACACCTTTTTAAAGGATTCTATTTTATACGAAATTGAACGTTGTTGTTAAAGAAACATGAGTTAAAAATATTTATTTTATTTTGTTTTACACTTTATTGCACCAAGTGAAAAAAAAAAAAAAAAATAACAAATACAGTAAATATTAATGAGAAGTGACACAAAAGGCGGTCTTATCGCTAAGCAATCTCTTCCAGACAACCTTTGGGTAGAGGACATTGAGAGAATGACAATATACAATGTTTTAATTTATTTTACCATAGGAGATATGGGAGGCCAAAAATATTTGTCAGAAATCCACTGAGATCATTAAATGATGCTCTATGACTGGCTTTTTATTACATACAAAGATAAAAAAACCGGTCAAGTGCGAGTTGGACTTGCTAACGAAAGTTTCGTACAAAATCATCAAGTTTAAGTTTTTTTTTGTGAAATAACTACAAGTTTACGGTTTTCGGATTTTTTCCTTTACTTGTACTACATGACATTGCTTCTTGCCAAATTTCATGATTCTAGGTCAACAGGAAGTACCCTATTAGGTTTCCATTCCCTTTGTGAATATCAAAATATGCGATATAAATGGAACATAAACTGTCGTATCTATTGAATGCGTTGATTTAAAAGATTGATTTTTTTTCACTGATTTAAGAGACTGCAGACTTGATTATATGATATTAATTTCAACTTGATACCTCCACGCGTTCCTAAGAAAAAGGATCGTGTATATAGACGATTATTTGTATTGATTTGCATGTTTTATATGACTGTGTTTGTAAAAAAAATTATTTATATTCTAATGTATACCACATCTAGTATAATTGATATCCAAACTCCAAGTCTCAAGGCATTCCTGGCAACCCCTAACGTCGTCTGCTTAAAGATAAATCGCTTCAAACGCTCTTTTCCTTCCGGGCCCTAGCTTTGGAGTTTACGAGAGCGTAAAATAGGTAAATAGATATTTTATTTAGCGCGCTACTGTTCGGTGAATTATGTGGCGTTTAGTAAAAGAAAATATAATAGATATTTTAAACAAAATGGCGGAAAATGTATAAAGAGTACAGTATGTATACAGTATACATACATGTATACATACATATATATATTTTATTCTTGCCTGACAATTACTATTATTATTTATTTAAAATTAGAATGTAATTATAAGTAATTATATGAAATTGATGTATAATTTTGGACTGTCTGTGTAACTACATATTTTTGTATGCCTTACAGGCTAAACATGTCGAACGACATTGTATTGTCAACATCTGCATGTTAAATACATTTTTACAATTTAATTACATTTAATTACAATTTTAATATATGTTAGTGTATTTAAGTGAGAAGTTAAGTATATAAGTGAAATCAGATTATAAATTCATCGGTATATAAATTCTAAATTTCATTTAGTGTCAACAAATTTCAGCACAAATAAACCAATCAATCAATTGATAACCAATTGATTGGTTGAATCAAAATCGCTAGATACTTCTGCAACGAAATACCACTGGCGTTGAAAAATAACAAAAATATTCACCTCCAACACATAAACAATTTTTTTTGTCGTTTTTGAATTTTTGTTTCACGATATTTCTGTTCTAGTATATTTTACAGTTTTTTTTTTATTATACGACTTACAATGGCAAACAAGCTGACGGCCCACCTGATGGAAAGTGGTAACCGTCGCCTATAGACATGAGCAGTACCATTGACATAACAGAGTATATTGTTTCGCCCATGATGACCCCTATGCGTTGCCTCATTCCTGAGGACTCAGGTGTTATTCCTCTGTACCCAGTAAATTCACGCCATATCCCACCCTTCAAACAGAAACACAGTTATGCAAACACAACTGCTTCACAGTTGAAACACGAATAGGACAGTGGTACCCAAGCAATCGACTTTTGTACAAAGTCTCCCTCTGGTGAGATTATTAAATTTCAACAAACTACAGGTAATTTTAATTTATTATATTATATATATTATTGTATTATATCATGTCAGGTCAATTTCTATATGGCCTCTTATGCAAACTACTATAGTTAGTTGCTTTCTTAGCCATTTTGGAATTCTAACAATTAATTTAACTTTATTCTCATCTGTCGTGTCTTCAATCATAATATAGGTACAGTTGTAACATTATTTCCAGTCCATTTAAAACCTCTCTGACTACCTCATTAAGGATTATAGATTAAAACATATTTATTTTATATTCTCGCATTTGTATTGAGCAAAAAATATCGAGCGAAACTCGTTACCCCTGGCGGAAAGTTTGCACGGTTCGTTTGTATTTCTTTAGAGAGCCAAATTTCTGTTCTCTTTTACATTTTATTAGTAGGTATATATGGTTTGGAAGTAAAAAATGTTAGAATGGTGATCTTTGAAGACCAATTTGTTATGGTCGGCCGCATGGCATTGAAGCTATGGGAATTGTACGGTACCGATGTATTTTTAGCAATTTCAATTCAAGTGTATTTCTAAGTGTACGTTACATATGAGTTTTATTCGATAATTCTAAACCGATTTGATAATTCTTTATGCAGTCGTGTAAAGTCAAAGGTTTGGTTATATTATATTTTTGTTTACAATATTCAAAATTCTAACTCCCAGTTGAAGTGTAATCGGCCATGGTTCAGGGCTCCAGGAAGAGAAATCGGCGCACTATGCGGGTAAAACACAAGAGCACTGTTTTCTGCATCTTTCACAAAAGTAAGCTGTCTCAGAATCGCAACCATCTGAGGTGTTCTTTCAGACTGGTTGCGATAAGACTGTTCAGTGATAGAACGACTGGGATGATTTCGGTGGATTTTTTTTTATACCACTGAGGTGGCAAACAAGCATATGGACCACCTGATGGTAAGCGGTTACCGTAGCCTATGAACGCCTGCAATACCAGAGGTATAACGCGCGCGCTGCCGACCCTGAAGAAACCTCTTTACACCCCTTTTGAAGAACCCCATGCTGTAGTCTCTCGGGAAAATTTCGGCTGGGAGCTTATTCTATAACCTGAGTGTTCGTGGGAGAAATCATATACCACTTCTCATAATTTTTTAATAATTAATTTCCTTATATGGCTTTGTCTGTATCAATGGGATATATTGATCGAACAAAATAATTGGTTTAAGTTATTTCTACATCCAAAATGCTATGTGTATTTCGAATTTTATTACAAGTGGTTAAGCTCATAAGTCGCCAAGAGATAAACTAACTCAACTTCACATTTATAATAGTACTAGCTATGTTCTCCGGCTTTGCCTGTATAAATTAGTAGGTACATACTGTATCCTATTAAGTTACGATATAATTTATCTGTGTACCAGAGAGTGACTTTGTACAAAAGTCGTTTGCATGGGCACTTCTGTTCTATTCGTGTTTCAACCGTAAAGCGTTGTGTTTGCATGGCTGTGTTTCGGTTTGAAGAGTAGGATATGGCGTGAATTTACTAGGTACAGAGGAATAACACCTGAGTCCTCAGGAATGGCAACGCATAGGGGTATCATGGGTACACTCTGTTATGTCCATGGTACTGCTCATGTCTATAGGCGACTGTTCCATTCGTGTTTCAACGGTAAAGCAGTTGTATTTGCATGGCTGTGTTTCGATTTGAAGAGTGGAATATGGCATGAATTTACAGGGTACAGAGGAATAACACCTAAGTCCTCAGGAATGGCAACGCATGGGGAGTATCATGGACGTAACAGTATACTCTGTTATGTCCATGCTACTGCTCATGTCTATAGGCGACGGTTAACACTTTCCATCAGGTGGGCCGTCAGCTTGTTTGCCATTCTGAGTCGTATAAAAAAAAATGTAATTAGTGGTTGTTTTGCAATTCATTGTAACATCAATAAATTGAATGATAAAGCAGTTCTCATCTGAAACTGGCTATCATTGCGTACTATTATATCAACCATGTAATTATGTATACAAAGTAATAAACAGGGACAATCTTAAAAAAAAAACATTTGTAACTCTTGTTGATAATTTAGTATGTAAACAGTAGTGCCAGTGGACGGTGGGTTGTTCAAGTAAGTCACTGTTTATATTGATTTATTATTTATGTAAAAAAAAAAAATAATACGATGTAAATTATAATATGGAAATAGTGTGGAAATGCAGCAAGTCTCCTAGGTACCCTACCAGTTGGCAGTGATCTCAAAGAAATTTTTTATCTTTAAGTAATTCTTTAATGGCAAGTCCATTTTTGACATTTATAACACGTAGATGTAAAGTGTATATAATAGATAGATTATATTTTTTTACATATTTATATATAATACATATAAAATTTTGTATATAATTAATATATATCACCATATATTATATATACACTTGTACCAACTGTAAAATTAAGTTATTATAATATTCCTAATATATAATATACCTATATATTTATGTATATATATGTTTTTAACTGTTTACTAATCATATTAATTAAATTATTTATTTGCAAAATACAGAATTACAATTAATATATTAATTTAATTATATGTACAATACATTAATAAATTAAAGTTATATATTTAAGTTACAGAATTGACATTTTATGAAAATTAAATAAAATCGTAATGTTTTATAGTTAATTATTAGTATTAATTATTGTAAATCACTTGACATGTGCAAAAATTTTGATTACCTGTAGTGTGTTGGAGTTTGATCATCTGTAAACTGCAGGTAATAATAAATAAATAAATGAAAAATTGAATGAATGAATGAATGGATGGATGAGGCGAAGAAGAAGAAGAATAGAATAGAATAGAAAATCATTTATTCAAATAAACGTACATTCAAGCACTTTTGAAAAGTCATTACATTTTTTTTAATTTACCGCTCGTTCGGAAAGCTGTCTCATCACAAGAAGAACGAGCAAGAAACTTGCGTGATGCTCTTTTAAATAATTTTATTATTATTTTACATTTTTAAGTTATATTGTGTGAATACAAACCACCAATTAGCACTAATTCAATTAACTCAAAAAGAAAAAAAAAACCGAATACATAACCAACTGGTTAAACAATTAATAAGAGGAAATCAGTCATAGTGATTAGAGCAGACCAGTCCCTACAAGCAGCACCCGTTCACGAGTATGACGGATGAGCCAGCCATCACTGCGCTCGACCATATTTTTGGGAGCCCAATGACCCGGCCCACCACGCCGCCACAAGTTTGGACATTTTAGTGAGCATGACTACTCAAAACACTAGACCACGTCAAAGCTACTCACAATTGCCATCTGATAGTTATAGTATTCACATTTTACATAAGAATGCATGCGGCAATTAATACAAAAAACCGCTACGCTTTCATATTTCTAAAATTAATCAATTAAATCAAGAAAGCAATGAGAAAATAAAATTATAACGTTGTATGCTAATAAACTAATTATTTACTTGATATGTTGTCATCTATGAATTCGTCTATCCTGTAATAGGCTTTCTTACATAAAAATTGTTTAATATAAGATTTGAATTGCCTCTCTGTCAGATTTAATGCAGATTCCGGCAGTTTATTATAAAATCTTATGCAATTACCATAGAATGAATTACTGATTTTGTGCAGACGGCATTTAGGTAAAATAAGCTTATTTATATTGCGTAAGTTTCTACTTGTACAGTCTTTGAGTTTTTTAAAACTCGCTAAGTTCTTCCGTGTATACATAATATTTTCATAAATGTATTGTGAAGTAACTGTGAGGATATTTGAGTCTTTAAAGCACTGACGTAATGACTCTCTTGAACCCATACCATAAATAGAACGTATGGCTCTCTTTTGTAAAACAAATATAGTATTTATATCGGCTGCTTTACCCCACAGCAGTATGCCATAAGACATTATGCTATGGAAATAACTAAAATATACAAGTTTAGCCGTCGCCACGTCTGTTAATTGCCTAATTCTTCTAATTGCATATGCAGCAGAACTGAGTCTACTGGCCAATTTTGAAATATGGGGCCCCCATTGTAATTTCGAGTCCACTGTTATACCTAAAAAAACTGTATCATTAACAAAATTTACTATTTCGTCATTAAGCAATAACTGTGTATTTATTAGTCTTACATTAGGAAGTGTAAATTTTATACACTTTGTTTTGCTGGAATTTAATAATAGGTTATTACATGTAAACCAATTTAATATTGCAGACATAGCACAATTTACATCGTCTAATTGATTACTTTGACGTCCAATTTTAAACACTAACGAAGTATCATCCGCAAACAGCACTATATCTGCAATTTTCTCTACCATAAAGGGAAGGTCATTTATGTAGATTAAAAAGAGAAAGGGGCCTAAGATTGACCCTTGTGGAACGCCCATCTTAATATTAGCTCCCTTAGATTTTACACCGTCAATATCTACAGTTTGAACCCTATCCTCTAAATAAGTTCTCATTAATTTTAGATCATTATCTCTTATACCATAATGTTCGAGCTTGTACAAAAGCGTTTTATGATCCACACAATCAAATGCCTTTGATAGGTCACAAAAAACTCCGAGTGCATCCTGTGACCTCTCCCAAGATTCGAAAATATGTGTCATTAGCGCAACACCTGCGTCAGTGGTAGACTTGCCGGCGGTGAAACCATATTGCTGACTGTGAAGCAGTCCGTTAACCCTGAAGTGATGTAACATTTGATTTAACATTATCTTTTCAAACACCTTACTTAGAACTGGCAAAATAGATATAGGTCTATAGTTCCCTGGCTCAAATTTATCTCCTGATTTAAATAGTGGGATTAATTTGCTAAATTTCATTAAATGTGGAAAAACGCCATTATCAATACATTTATTAAAAATAGTGGCTAGATATGGAGCAACAATATCTATGAAAGAACTAACTACTTTTACAGACATGCCCCAAAGGTCTTCCGTATTTTTTAAATTTAGCTGTTTGAATATTTTTATGATATGAAAGGGGCTAACATGTGAAAATTTAAATCTTAAAGAACAACAACCGATATTAGTCTCTAGTAATTTTTTTGCTCGAGATTGAGATGAGTCCAGAGAAGATGTAATATCAATCGGAATATTAGCAAAAAAATCTTCAAAAATATTAACTACATCTTTTGTTGTTGATATTAATTTATTATCATAATTTAATGTAAATTGATTACAGGCTATTTTAGATCTTCCAGTTTCTTTATTTATAATGCTCCAGATGGTTTTAATTTTGTCAGAAGACTGCTTAATTTGTTTATTAAAATAATTAGACTTAGCCATAATACAAACTTTTTTAAAAATTTTAGAATAATTTTTTACATAAGTGGTGAATTTGTCATCAAATCGATATTTTTTTTGATCGTATAAATCAAACAAAATATTTCTACTTTTAAGTATTCCTACTGTTGCCCATTCCGTGAATTTAGATTTAACATGAACTTCTTTTTTCTTGAAAAATTGTTCATATTCTCCGGATAAAATATTAATTAGCTTGGTGTAAAGATAATCAGGATTATTACTAGATTGTAACAGCAAATCCAATTTATTTTTAATCGCGCTTTTGTATTTATTAATATTGTAAACATTTATTTGTCTTTTTGATTTTTTATTATTGTTGACTTTATTGATTTGACTGCTAAACTTAACAACTTGACCACAGTGATCTGAAGGAAGTTTATTTATTATGAATTTTTCTGTATACTCGCAGTTACAAAAAACATTGTCAAGACAAGTAGCAGACGTGGCAGTTACACGAGTGGGTTCATGAAAGACATGACATAAATCAAACGACTGAAATAAACTAATAATTTTTGTACATGTGGGTGTATTACAAAGAATATCAACGTTAAAATCTCCACATACAATAATTTTTTTAATACTATTAAATACTTTTTTTAAAATATCCTCCATCACCCCTTCAAAAACATTGTAATCACTATTAGGAGGCCTGTACACACATATAAGGATATAATTTTCTAGTTCTATACAAGATAATTCTATACAACACTCAATAGAAAGTCTAACAATGTCAGCACGTTCCTTTACTTTAATATTATTTCTTGCAATTATCATAGACCCGCCTCTGTTAACTGACTTTCTATTGAAGCAGCTGACAACGTTATAATTATTTAAATTGAACATCATATTGCTTTCTTTAAGCCAATGTTCTGTGAAACAGACAATATCAATATTATACTTTTCTAAAAATAATTGTATAATTAACTCGCTGCCGGGAAAACTTTGTATGTTCTGATGAACAATTATTAATTCTGATTGCTTTCCCTTTGTCTTTGTGAGCAGTTTAAATCTGCAGTCATAGTACTTATGTCACAAATATTAATAGAATTATCTGTTATGTCAGCATTTTTATGTTTAAGTTTACCATGTAAACTGTTCATGTAGTCAATATTATAAGCCACTAAAGTGGCTATTTTATTTTTAGATGATTTAGAAAGATACATTGTATCTTTTGTCAAATAAAAATCACTAATAAAACTATTAGTATCAAAAAATGTCAAAATGTCACTATGACGACATGTCAATGTATGTAATAAGTTATTTAGGTAATGTACCTTACTGTTAATTTTTTTATGAAGATGTCTATTTGTGTAAGGAAAAGCGCACAATACAATCTTATACACATTTAATTGTAATAAATATTCAATTCCTTTAATTACATCCTGCCTATTTAATTGAATACTATTAAAAAAATAACACAATTGTGGTCATATTGTTCATTTTCGTAGACTTAATTTTATTTATTATTTGTGTAAATGATGCTTCTGGCATGCAGTAGTTTAATAAATCACCCTTAAGATGATACTTCAATATAGACCCAAAGTTACAGCCTATTCTGTCAGAGAACACCATTGTGCTACTCTTAGGGTTACAGTCACTGGCACAAACACCCTGAACTTCATTTTCCAGCACAGTTACAACTGAATTATTATTTGATATATTTGTGTGATTACATGTACAATGCTTAGTCAACGACTCAAAACGGTCAGCATTGTATTTACTGACATCAATCAGATCATCCATTGCTAAAATATGCTCCTGGATTTGTTTCTGAGAGATAATATACTTTGTATTTAAATCATGAAGCGAAGATTCTAAACTATTGATTTTTGAAGTTATCTGTATCAATATATATATAACTTTTGGCTTTCCACTAACTTATATATATTAATGTAATCATGCAATTTTAAATTATTCATGGTTTTTTTCAATAATTGTCCCTTTTTGCAACGCTTATTTAATATATTCCGATTCTTAATTATAAACTTTTTTAGTTTTAAATATTTTTTAAATTTATATATATACAAATATTACTGTTATAGTTGCCTAATTTAGGTGATGTATCACTAGTAAGGTCAATTACAACAGGATGGGTGCATGGAACTGTAGTAGAAGGAGGCACACAGTCAACACTAATAAGTTCCTCATATAAAGTACTAATCTCATTACTTTGTCGAGATTCCAATCTTGTGTCTAGATCATTGATTTTAGAATATGCCTGCTTTAACTCAAGTTCCAATTCAGTGATACGCCTCAAGGCTTGCTCATGAGTGTCACTACATTGATGAAAGCTACTTATTAGTTCTTGAAGCTGATCCCGCTGCTCAATAACTTCCTGATGGCTATTATGAAGTTCTGACAATTCTGATTTTAATTGGGTATTTTTATTTATAATTTTTAAAATTTCATCTTCACTCTCTTCTCTCTCCCTGATCAAATTGTCACTGAGATCTTTGGATGCCTGAAGTTCTTGTAGGGCCACTTTAAGCTTCATCTCTGTCTGCCGTGCAGTTGTGGAACGAGTAGATAGTGACATTATTGAATATATGAATAGTTACTAGGGAGAGTGAAGTGAGTTATTTCTAAAAAAAGTATCACAGCGAGAACAGCAACTGAACCTTACTTATTCTAATGAAGGATCGATGAATGAATGATGGATGTATGGAGGGATGGATGGATAATTGAATGAATAAATTAATAAATAAAGAATATGCATTTTTTCTTATCAGAATGTGGAGTTACGTCATAATTACACTGTGTGCATTTGCCATCTGGTTGTACTTGCATTGGAGACATACATCTCAATATTGGAGCAAGCGCGGTGTCCCACATTTGCCTCCTCATCCTATACTGGGCAGCCTTACCTTCCTACAGCGACGCAATCCGGTATGTTGATTATATTTAATTAACTATATATGGATAGATAAAACCTCTTTATTGTTTTCTCCAAAAGATTACAATAGTAAACTTATTATAAATATAAACAATAACAAGAAATAATCACAATGAGAAAACAATGGGCGATCTTATCGCTAAGAGCGATCTCTTCTAGGCAACCTTTGGATGGAGAGGAGTAATTATAAACAATTTGGTGGGAGGCACGATGAAAAACTCTGTTAGTTCTATATATGGGAGATATATATATATATATATATATATATATATATATATATATATATATATATATATATATATATATATATATATATATATATATATATATATATATATATATATATATATATATATATATATATATATATATATTGCCAAACATGGCCACTACTGGCAAAACTCGCCCAATTGGAGTAGACCTGCACCAGCAGTGGCTGTTTAAATCTGATCAGATGATATAATCATTGTATATTATCAACTTCTTCGACTTAGCCTAACCAACTTCGAAAAGAAGAATGTTCTCAATTTGTTTGTATTTTTTTTTATGTTGCTCGGAACCCTGTCAGTTGTGAATCGTAATTGATTTTGTCACAGTGGAACTAAATTTTTGTTTGTGGAACATTATTTATGATGTGCAATATGCAATGAATATGTTAAATGTTTTACCAGAAGAACACTTTATACAAGAGTCGATTGCTTGGGTACCTCTGATTTGTTTCAACCGTAAAGCACTGCGTTTCGGTTTGAACAAAATGGCGGGAATTTTTGTTAACACCTGAGTCCTCAGGGCAACGCATGGGGGGTAATGGGTGAAACATTATTTGTTATGTCCATGGTACTGCTCAATGAATTTCCATCAGGTGGGCCGTCATTATTTGCCATTCAGTGTTGTATAAAAAAATGTAAATAAATAAAAAATAATGTTAATTCTCACGTTCTGATTAATTCAAATAAAGTTATTTATGTTTATTTTATCACTCGAGCGCAGTTTCGGACGGTTGTTATCTGCCGTGAAGAAGATACGTCTCGTATCTTAACAATTATATCATCCAGTTATTATGTATAGAGTTTTTATCTGTCAGTTTGTACACGCTAATATCAGAAATTGCTTAACCGATTTGAATACAACAACAGAATAAGAATAAGCCTCTTTCTTGGGGGGTTTTGCCAATAGTTGTCAAAACGTAACATATGTGTATATATATATATATATATATATATATATATATATATATATATTTACAGTAAAACTTAAAATACTACAATACAATAATTTGTTATATTCGTTAATTAATCGTTGTGTTTGTAAACTGCCTTGCTTATTACCTATATTGTATAATGCAAATAAAGTATACTCATTCATTTAATAATACAATTTGTCAAAATAATATTTTTTAAGTGAATCTTGACTGTCTAATTTGTAAGGGTATAGAATGGATGATTTATTGTAAAATGGCAGTCATAACCTGTTCAGGAATGGAAATGCATGAAGGAGGGTATCATGGGCGAAACAGTATACTCTGTTATGTCCATGGTACTGCTCACGTCTATAGGCGACGGTTACCACTTTCCATCAGGTGGGCCGTCAGCTTGTTTGCCATTCTAAATCGCATACAAAAAATTTAATAACTCTAATGTCTATCTCAAATATCTATATTGAAGGAAATAAAGTTATCATTCATAAAATTCATAAAAAATAAATATATTTTAGGCATTATGGCTGCGAGAGATGTATCGTCACTTCGATACTCCATATGTCGGATTGTGGTTAGTATGGCGACCGGCTTTGTTGGTTAACAGCCCAGATATAGCTCGAAGAGTACTGGTAAAAGATGCTGACAACTTCAAAAATAGGTTTTTGAGTTCAGGAACTTCAGACCCAATCGGCCAACTCAATTTGTTTACAGTCAATGTAAGTATTTTTTAAGTAACATCTTCTCTTGTACATACTGCATTATTATTATTATTTCTATTAATTAAATACTTTAGCTATGTTTTTTTTTATACAACTTAGAATGGCAAACAAGCCGACGGCCCACCTGATGGAAAGTCGTTACCGTCGCCTATAAACATGAGCAGTACCATGGACATAACAGATTATACTGTTTCGCCAATGATACCCCCCATGCGTTGCCACTCCTGAGGACTTAGGTGTTATTTCTCTGTACCCAGTAAATTTACGCCATATCCAACCCTTCAAACCGAAACATAGCCATGCAAACACAACTGCTTCACAGTTGAAACACGAATGGGACAGAGGTACCCAGGCAATCGACTTTTGTACAAAGTCTCCCTCTGGTAAAATAATATGTAGTTCCTAGTTAATATTCCTTGTCTGCGGGTGTCTGAGATAAGAGAAGAGAGTTTACGGTGGACGGATGGATAGCAGCGACCCTCTTAAAACATCACCAAAAAGCCTATTTGTGGTTGCCAATCCGCCTGCCAAGCGTGGCAATTACTGGCAAAACCTCCCTTATGAGGAAGGCTATGTTTAGCAGTGGATACTTAATCAATTAAATACGTTACGTATATTTTTTATCCTTCTATCCAGGATCCAATTTGGAGTTACATGAGGAAACGTTTGTCACCCGTGTTTACTTCTGCGAAACTGAAAAATCTCAACGGTCTTGTTACTGAGAAGGCGTCTCTTTTGATTCAACGTATCCACAATGAATGTAAAAGAAGCGACCCAATAGACTTGAGGGTAGGTGGGCTTTTTTATGTGCTTTATAAGTATTACACACATACTTATTGTAAAGGTAGTAAACAAGAGTATAGCCTGTCTTAATGATGACGAGTTACCGCAATCTATGAACGTTATCGGGGTGTCCTGCTCGTCTTGGAACGTTGGAAATGCCAGGTATCTGGGTGGAAGGGATTGTTAGCAATGGGGAGGTTAGTTCCCATTGCTGTCAATATACCCTATTAGGTCGACCTTCACGCGGTTCCCCCTGGAAACTATCGTAACTAATTTATCGTTGAATTTGTCTCGATGGGTTAACTGACCTGCCTTTTCATCCTCACCTATCACCTCTCACTGGAACTTCGCCATTAGCGCAGGTGGCGTTACCATGCCATTTTGACCTATTAAAAAAATGCCAGGTATCTCCCGGGCACGTTTTGAATCTTGAAGAAATCGCACATTTGCGAAACCCCATATGTATTTAACTTGTTCAAGTAAACAATAGCGAAAATAAATTCGTCCGAAATGTAAGGATAAATTTCCTTTCAAACACTATAATACTTTTCTTCATTAGTATTTTAAACGAGATTTTTTTGTTTAAATATATCATAGCACATTTATTGTTAAAGAAATCTTTGAAATTTAACATATATGTGGTACTTGGTATGGAGGGGACTGTTTTTTTTTGATGGGTGAAAATGGTATGGTAACCCCGCCTGCGCTAACGGGATACGCTGGCGGAGCACCAGTGAAGGGTGATAGATGAGAATGAAAACGGGCCAGTTGGCGCATCATTATGAATTCGTCAGGAATTAACCATGATAGTTTCCAGGGGGAACCGCGAGGAGGTGGACTTGGTTGGGTATATTGCTAGCAATGGGATTTTCAGTCTCCATTACTAACAATCCCTTTCCCCCCGGAGGGGACTGTTAGATTATTATATATCACAATCAGTCAATATATTTCTGTCGTAAGAGGATAGTAGTTCTCTTTGTGAATCATAGGTATGCTCTAAGTATGAACAGAAGAATTCTATTATATTATTACTGCACTTAATACTCACTTATAGTATACTATTACTTATGAAAATGAAAAATGAAAAAATATTTATTCCATAACAAAATTGATACAATAATAAGATCGTTGTTGTGACCTTCTAGTAAGTGTTATCACCTGTAACAGAAGGTCACGCTCCTCCATAACCATGCAAATACAAATCATAGTACCATGAAATTAAGACATATACATTTTCTAGTAATAAGTAAATGTAAATGCATGCATGCGTGTGTGTATAATAGTTACCCAGTAGCACTTACTGCTGGGTAAATATTTTCCCAATTTTCTTTTATTTTTATGCAACTTAGAATGGCAAACAAGCTGGTGGCCCACCTGATGGAAAATGGTAACCGGCGCCTATAGACATGAGCAGTGCCATGGACATAACAGAGTATACTGTTTCGCCCATGATACTCCTCCTGCGTATTCTTGAGGACTCAGGTGTTCTTTCAAAGGTTTTCTGTCCTGTGGCAAGTTGAACCAGTCTCTTTTAATTTTTTTTACAATATCCACAGTCAATGTATTCCGACTATACCACGGACGTGATTGGAACAGCTGCCTTCGGCGTAAGCAGTGAAGCTACTCTTAACGGCAAGAGTCACTTGAGGGATGTCACTAAAGAATTCATGAAGTTTAATGTACTCAGAGGCATCGCGTGGTGCAGTATATTTTTCTTCCCCAGACTAGTTGATATTTTCAGGTAAGAAATTTATGTATATCTTGTAAAAATAACTAGATTCATGAAATCATGTTTTTTTTTATAGCATAAAATGGCAAACAAGCTGACGGCCCACCTGATGGAAAGTGGTAACCGTCACCTATAGAAATAAGCAGTACCATGGACATAACAGAGTATACTGTTTCGCCCATGATACCCCCCATGCGTTGCTATTCCTGAGGACTCAGGTGTTATTCCTCTGTACCCTGTAAATTCACGCCATATCCCACTCTTTCAAAGCGAAACACAGCCATGCAAACACACCTGCTTCACGGTAGAAACACGAATGGGAAAGAGGTGTCCAAGCAATCGACTTTTGTACAAAATCTCTCTCTGGTATGTGGTGACAGAGTAATTAATATGTATGTATATCAATAATTAGTAGTACCGCATTCGAGTATTCTGACACTTCCCTATGGTTGACTGGGAGAGAATGCTTTTAGCATTAAGTCCGCCATGTAGGTACACATATTTGTACTAATGAATAAATAAATAAAATAAATAAATAATTAAATAATTTCTCACAATTCACTAAGAGTGAGAGAGACTAAAGAAATAAACTACAATGCATTCATACAAGAGAAGTTAAGATCTGTACTAAACTAACTGTGGTAAAAGTAGGCTGTGTAAACAATTTTTTTAAAAGAGACTCAATCAATGGTGAGATATGGTACCTACTATGTCTCACTATGTTAAATATTCTACTAATCTCAGGTAATATAACTGATATTTTTTTTTAATGGGTGATAATGGAATGGTAACCCCACCCGCGCTATCGTTATACACCGGCGGGGCACCAGTGAAGGAGGATAGGTGAGGATGAAGCAGGTCAGTTAGCCCATCGTGACGAATTCAACAAGAATTGTTCACGATTGTTTCCAGGAGGAACCACGTCGGGCATATTGCTAGCAATGGGGCTGTCAAACTCCGTTGCTAACAATCCCTTTCCCCCCTAATATAACTGATATTGTAAATTTGAAAGTTTGTATCAATATATATTATTCAACTATCTTTAAATAGCTGAGCATGTCTATTTAAAGAAACATTATTTTATATGTTATTTTTGACGCATTTTGAAGTTTATTATTTTCAATTTTTACCATATTATTGTTTTCTTAAAATCAACGTTATTTTTTTTTATATTTTGCTGTTTGATCCCAGCATCGAATATCCCACCTGAATAGATGTAGTAAGAGGCGACTAAGGAATGGTCAAGGCATGGACAAAAGCGTCCCTCTTAAAACATCATTATAGGGGGAAAGGGATTGTTAGTAATGGAAACTAAAAATCCCTTTGCTAGCAATATACCCGACCAGGTCGACCTCCACGCGGTTCCCCCTGGACACTATCATGATTAATTATTCATGATGAATTCATCATGATAGGCTAACTGGCTTGTTTTCATTCTCATCGATCACCCTTCACTGGTGCTCCGCCAGCGTATCCTGTTAGCGCGGACGGGGTTACCAATCCATTTTCATCCAAAAAATATCATTATGGCCTAATTATTCTTGTCAACTCGCCTGCCAAGCGTGGCGACTGCTGGAAAAACACTCACAGTGTGAAGCTTATGTTTAGTAGTGAGCAATTAATTGCTAATATGGCATGGTATTTTATACCAATAATAATTTCACTGATTTTGATTAGTAATTCTTGAGCAAATTATAGCTTTTACGCGTATTGATCCCATTACAGTTTTCACCATGGAAATTGCTGTATTAGTTTTTTTTTAAAAATCTAATTTCAATTTTTAGATTCTCATTTTTCCCGAAAACTACAACAGATTACTTCAGGAGAGTGTACCGAGCCATGGTGATACAACGGAGGGACAATATCGGACGAGAAAATAAAGATTTACTTGATGCACTGTTGAAGATTCAAGAGGAATCAGTGAAGAATAACGAGGGTTAACATCGTTATTTACATCATATCAGCTGTTATTTGTCCATTGTTGGACATAGGTCTCCCCCATAAGGAACGGTCCCAAGTCACCTGTATCCATTGACTCCCTGCAATGCATTTGAGGTCGTCACGCCATAGGATCTAAATAGAAAAAATTTCTTTCTAATAAATAGTACAATTTATGTCTACAGTAGATGGCCACCATTTTTCATCATGTGGGTCATCAGCTCATCATACATTGTAATGCAAATTGTGTAAATAAGGTTTTTTTTTATGGGTGAAAATGGTATGGTAACCCCGCCTGCGCTAACGGGATACGCTGGCAGAGCACCAGTGAAGAGTGATCGATGTGAATGAAAACAGGCCAGTTAGCCCATCATGACGAATTCATCAGGAATTAACCATGATAGTGTCCAGGAAGAACCGCGAGGAGATCGACCTGGTTGGGTATATTGCTAGCAATGGGATTCTCAGTCTCCATTACTAACAATTCCTTTCCCCCCTGTGTAAATGGTTATCTACATATATGAGTGTTGTATAGAGTAAATATTGCGCTATTCCAGACGTAACTGAAGACATGCTCGTGTCTCAGGCTGCGATATTTTTACAAGGTGGTTTCGACACTTCTGCTTCGACACTCACGTTCATGACTTACGAAGTAGCTCATCAACCACAAATACAGGTAAGTTCGATGCCTTATTGTCATTTTATTTCAACATTGGACATATTCTATTGCCCGTTGTAGTGGTTTTGACGTTTTTGCTTCGGTTCTCATGTTGGTGACTTACGTAGTAGCTCATTAACCGCAAATATACTTAGGTTCGCCGTCTGGTATAGAATAGGCCACTTGTTTTTATTGGGTGTCGTAAAAGGTGACTAAGGGAACTTAATAGTCGAAGGATGGGAAGCAGGGTCCCTCTTAAAACATCAGCGAAGCCTAAATGCGGTTGCCAATCCGTCTACCCAGCGTGGCAACTTCTTCTTCCCCCCTTTTTTGTGGGGGAGGCTTATATTCGGCAATGGATAGTTAAATAATACATGTACTTATATAAAAAAGAATTATTTGTTAAATATCTATTGATCATTCCAGGAGAAACTCTACAAAGAAATACTGAATGCTTCAGAAAAGTATACTAAAGAAGAATTTAACTCGATTATTTTATCCAATGGCTTAACCTATATGAATTGTGTCATTAATGGTTTGTATATTAATTTACTAAGTATAAATTACTCATAAGTAATATTCTTAATAATAGAGTCATAATCTTAATTTATTTATTTTTATAATTGAACTGTCAAACCTTAAAATCATTGAACTAAATTTCTATTGTAGGTAGTATATTCATTTATTTTAACATCCATTGTATAAGTATGTAGGTATTATATTTATTTATAGTATATGTATTTATGTAATATTTTATTATGTATCTTAATATTTTATTTAACTGTATATTTGTTTATGTACTCTAAATATTAATAGTTGTAGCACTTCAGCTGCCCGCTAACAACATGTTTTCTAACTGCATTGGGTTGACTGGAAGAGATCTCTGTCAGAGATATGTCCACCCTTGCTCACAATATTTATAAATGCATTAACAATGTAATTTACAAGTGCAATAATGAATATATATATATAAGTATTGTTAAATATGCTTTAGGTATTGTAGTGATTTTCTTAATGATTTTATTATCCACCAGATGGCACCACGTTCTCTGTTATATTGTATCGAAACAAATACAATAAAAAGTAACAAAAGTAACAATTATCTAATGAGTTAAGATTTTATTTTATAAAGAAACAATTTAGTAAAATTTGTACGAGACAAACACGACCTTGTTGTTAAAACTTATGTTTATTTCTAATTAGCAATGTATGTAATGCAAATTTTATGGACTTACTATGTTTATTGTTGCCAACAATTTTTTGTTGTGCGACGCGAGATGCAGATGTATGTAAATATCGTATCTATCGAAACTTAAAAAAGACTTCCGGATGAAGTTGAAATAATTGTCGTAATCGACAAACATAGTAAGTTCACAAAATTCGCGTTATACACACACACACACACACACACGCAATCGCCCACGCTCGCGCGCCTCGGTGCGCTGATGCACGCACGCACGCACGCACGCACGCACGCACGCAGGCACATACACACACACACAAATACGACTCTTTCTTAGTAAAAATCTCTTAATCAATCATAAAAAATGGCTAAGAATTAACGAATACATTACGAAACGTATTCGGAATGAAATACAATGTGATTGAAAACCTTTTCCTTTTTGAAGTAGTATTCGATCCAGTTCTCAGAAGTAACTGTATTGAATTAAACTAAAAACGGAGAAATCCTCCCCATAATAATAGTATATTCTGCGGTGTTTTTGGTGCTATTCAAAGTGCTATTCAATTATCTGTCTATAGGTTGAGGTTATGACTTTTCATCAGGAACGGGGCGTAACATTGATTACCACATTTATCCAGTGCCAAAAAAACTAAATTGCGTTTAATATTTACTCAAATTATTATTTAGAGACTCTCCGAAAATACCCCGTAATGGGCTGGCTCGATCGGATTGCTGCTAATGATTACCAGATAGACAGTAAGCTGACCATCACCGCTGGAACGCCAGTATACGTGAATACAGTGGGCATGCACTACGATCCCAAATACTTCCCGCAACCTGAAAAGTTTGATCCTGATAGGTTCCTGCATGGAGACGTCGAGCCGTTTACGTATATGCCTTTTGGTGAAGGCCCAAGAGTATGTATAGGTAAGACACTATAAATTTTGTTGAGAATCGAACTTAAATAGTCTTATGAAGCAGATTTTAGAGTTTACTCCATAGACGCTTAAATTATGGAATGATATCTCTACCAATTTTTATAAGAGACTACATGGGGTACTTCAAAAAAGTTGTTGAAAGTTTCCTTTAAGATCGCCAGTATAGTACAATGCAGGTTTTGTAAATATCCAAGGACCGCGGTAGCTAGATACATGCTTATGTATAGCTATCTGTATGCTTGTTTGTCACCTGAGTCCTTGATGAAATGAGTTACGTTTCCTAAGAAATATGACCTTAAGTTTTACTTTCTCATTTAAACTTCCTAAAACAATCCCTCTTTAATTAGAAAATTCCTAACTTTAAATTACATATTTGTGTTGGTTTAAATGCTTAATATAACTGTAGGGCGTTTAAAACTTGCAAATATTGTACCTAATAACTATGCAAAATTTCTAAAGTGTATAACTTCTGACAAAGATCTTTGAGAACTCAATTTATTTTAAATATAGCTGGCTGGGATTTTCCTTCTAGTTTCTGCCTTTTTATAAATTCTTATTATCAGATTGAGAAAATATTTACTTCTCGACAGTTTAATCCATCAGATTTCAAATTCGTCTCTCATAATGAAAGAATTACTATCATATGTAGTTAATTTTTTCATTTCTTCTTCTTCTTTTGAAAATCACTGGAACAAACTCGTATACCTAATACTGTGTTAGCATTAACATCTTCTTTATCGGTGTAAGTTTATGGAAGATTAAAATTTTCAGAATAGAATAGAATAGAATAGAAATCATTTATTCAAATAAACTTACATTGAAGCACTTTTGAAAAGTCATTACATTTTTTTTTGCCAATTTACCGCTCGTTCGGAAAGCTGTCTCATCACAAGAAGAACGAACAAATTTACTTGCGTGATGCTCTTTTAAATAATTTTATTATTATTTTACATTTTTAAGTTTAATTGTGTGAATACAAACCACCAATTAGCAATAATTCAATTAAATACTCAAAAAGAAAAAAAAAATTGAATACATAACCAACTGGTTAAACAATTAATAAGAGGAAATCAGTCATAGTGATTAGAGCAGACCAGTCCCTACAAGCAGCACCCGTTCACGAGTATGACGGATGAGCCAGCCATCACTGCGCTCGACCATATTTTAGGGAGCCCAATGACCCGGCCCACCACGCCGCCACAAGTCTGGACATTTTAGTGAGCATGACTACTCAAAACACTATCAATGTTTGCATGACTACTCAAATTTCAATCATATAAATTACAAATATTTTTTGCAGGTCAAAGGTTCGCTTACATAACGTTGCGCAAGGCAATGACTGCCATATTTTTGAACTTTGAAGTTCGTCCACTGGCCAATACTCCGAAACCCGAAGAATGTGAGTTAGAGAAGAAAGGATTGTTCCTGGTGCCAGCAAACGTCATGTCAGTAGAGTTTGTACCAAGAAACAGGACATTTTGATCGGCGGAAAAAATTTGAACAAATTTATTTCTGTAATGGCTAGGTACAATCTCCTTGTGTTGTTGTTTGATTTATTAATTAATAAAAGTTTACTTGTAATTTTATTTTGTACTCATATTTTCAAATCAGTATAATCTAAATGTCTAATTTGATTTTAAATCTTGGATAAGTGTGACTTATTCTCAAGTAAGGAAAGATAAAAACTAATACGTTTTTATGCGACATGAAGTGGCGAACAAAGTGATGGGCCACTTAAATGAATATGGTAATCGTCGGCTATAATTATATACATCATTGTAAATATTACAAAATTCAATATAATATCCACGATTACCCTGTGTTTTAAAAAGAGAACAGTGAGAATATTAGTCAATATAAATTTACTCGTGTGAAGTTTTTTGCGAAGCAAAATCCACTTGTTTCGTTGAGTGCCTAAACGTTCACATTATTTTTTTGCTCGCCATTCGTTTCCATCAAAGAGTTATTGTCTAGGGACACAGTGAAATATAGGAGTTGTCGGGACTGGGGAGAATTAAGATTATTTACCCCCTAATTCTCGAGAGGGGGGACGAAAAAAATTTAAACATCGTAGCGCATTTATTAAAAGCGAGCGAAATTATTTAAATCAGAGACTGAAGGAAACCCAAGAGGGCCTCGCCACATAAATAACGTCGGATAATCGATTCCCGTCCCTCTAAGTTATAATGGCTGACAAATTGTTACGCATTTCTGATGGAGTTCGGATGGTTGGCGTTTTGATAATGTCACGCGATGGTAAACAGTCTCTGTCTGTTGATGATAGATTGCCGCAGAGTTTTACCATTTTTATATGCTTTTGTTACCTCACTTATTATAATTGTAGGTGGTTCAGGACCTTGTTTCGAAATGACGACCTCTGTGACAAACCAGTTGGCACATTGATTTGTGTAATGAGGTTTCGAGTTCGATTCTCGGTCGGGCCAATTTAGGAAATATTTTTTCTAAAATTTTGTGTTGTACCCTCATATGTTCATCTGGTTCTTCATAAGACAGGGTAATTTAGTTTGAGAGTCAGGCAGTTGGAGTGTGTTAATATAATCATGTTAGGATGTTTAAGTCGATTCTGAATTGAAGGAGTTTCTTTAAATACACTCTAATAATACATAAATAACTCTATTGTGTATTTTTCTGTAATGCCCATTTTATCACGTGGATTTGCAGTTTACCGACCATTATACGTATCAAGAAAAATACTTTCCCTTTTCTGGCCTAAAAACTGTACACCTCACTCTATTGCCAGTACAATCTTTTCCTAAAACCAATCAATCATACAATAACTTATTTATTTTCGTTCAAGAACCGTAAGCACTTTTTCTTTACCTTAGTTATAAATGCATGTCTCAGTCTAGAAACTTCAGTTTCAATTTACTCGAGGAATATCATGAGAATATCTTGGCCAACTTTTCATTGGATGGAAAGGGGATGGGTCATGTAAGGGTTTCATATAATTGTATAGCTGTCTACCTAGGTAATGTATTTGTTTAGGCCTCGATTACTTAGCGGGCAGTTGTTTTAGTTTCTGATATTTATAGAACTTAAACTGTGGAATAGGATATTGCGGTAACTATGCTGTTTTGTTTGCTGAGGATGGTATTGGTTTATGTATCGTTTGGAATTTGTTACAATTACATTATTTGACATAGTAGCTTCCTGATTTGATTCGCTACTTTATAGGTGAGAATTTTAGAAACAGGAAAACCAATGAAATGGTTTATATTTTGATAGTGTAGCAATATAAAATTAAATAAATAATATTAATACAAGTGTAACTTAAAATATAGCGTTAGTGAAAACTGCATCCAATTTGGTAAACTTGTTTTTGAGGGACAAAACAAGCAGCCAAATTTTCTAAAAAATATTATTTTGACTTCTCTTGTTTTTGTTAATATCTCTCAACTAATTACAATTTTATTATATTAGTGTAATTTGCTGACTTGATCTAATTAATATTATAAATATGAAAGTATATATTATTTAACGGATGAACGAATTTGATTTAAATTTAGTGCATAGATAGACCATATTTTAGATTAACACTTAGGGTACTTTTAATACCAATTCATGCGACTCCTCCATGGGGTAGCAAATAGCAATATGATAGCAAATAATAATTTTTGTTTAGCTTCTATAAAAAAGTAACTTTAAACATAACAAAATATGGTGTAATTAAAATAACAAAAAGTTACTAAAATTAGTTTAAAATTAGCAAGGATTTAGTGTAACATACATACAAAAACATCGTAAAAATCGAGAATCCGCTCGTTTCGAAAGTCGTATCAAAATAAATCGAAATTTTTGCGTTGTTGTAAAGTGATGAGAAATTTTGAATTTGCAATATAAATTCCAAACAAACTCGTTTGTACTCTTTGCTCCGAAATATTTTATACGCGGTATGTTATAATTTGGTTTTAACAGAAATGTTTTTAACATAACTTATTAGAAAGTTAAATCCCTTTAAAATATTATAGGTAAAGTTTTCGTTTTTAAGGTAACATTATCCCGTTATTGTCCTGATTAACTGTTAATTAATTAATGTATGAACTTGGACAAAAGTTAAGAAACATGTCAAATCCTTCATTAATCAGATACCATTTACCGGAGGAAGACTTTGTACAAAAGTCGTTTGCTTGGGCACCTCTGTCCCATTAGTGTTTCTACCGTGAAGCAGTTGTGTTTGTGTGGCTGTGTTTCGGTTTGAAGGGTAGAATATAGCAGTGAATTTATACGGTACAGAGGAATTACACCTGAGTCCTCAGTAATGGTAACGCATGGTGGATATCATGGGCGAAACAGTAAACTCTGTTATTTCCATGATCACTGCTCATGTTTATAGGCGACGGTTATCACTTTCCATCAGGTGGGCCGTCAGCTTGTTTGCCATTCTTAGTTGTATAAAAAAAAAATTAACTGAACAATGACTGTAATATGGGAGATATTTAAGAAAAAATAATATAGAAAATGTTTAATCTCACTAAGAAGTAAGTCCAATAGATGCTAAAATAATCTTTTTTAGATATTTTGTTTGTCTATCTGTATATGTTGTTTTGGTATTGAACAAAAACTATTAAGCATTAAATTGAATGAATTTTTTACTATTATATTTTTGACGGTCTAACGTAAAATCTATTTTATCTTCATTTATCTATATGTGTCTACCTACTTTTGAAGTCTACGTGTTCTTAGTAACGAGCAAAAAGCTAGTCAGGACTAAAACTATGCCATTTCCCAAGTTAAAGTAAACAAAATAAGTTTCATCAAAATCGGGTAAACGATTTGGGAAATTGGCTTGAACCAAAATAGTGATATGGAATTTATATATATAAAGATGCCAATTAAATCGGATCGTAATGGAATCGTTAGTTTTATTAAACAAGCATATAGTTCGCATGATATAAATATGGCTCCCGAAAGAGATCGTAATTAATTACACGTATCACTTAGAAATGGACCCTTACTGTAATATAGACGGTGGTGGGCCTCTAAACTGTCTGAACCAAAGAACAAGGAATTACATAGAAGGAATGATAAAATAAAAACTGTAACTCATATGGTTGCCTCCTTTCTTCTTATGCAAATATAATTAGTAAAAACAGGACGAAAGATACACCGTTAGTTGTTATTTTTCTCAATTCATAGCAGGCTAGTGTATAGAAAGTGTGTATGTGGGGGGAAAGGAAGTGGTTCCCCCTGGAAACCATTGTGAACAATTCTTGTTGAATTCGCCACAATGGGTTAACTGATCTGCTTCATCCTCACCTATCATTCTTCACTGGTACCCCGCCGGTGTATACCGGTAGCGCGGGTGGGGTTACCGTTTCATTATCACCCATAAAAAAACTCTAAAATTGGTCGTGTTAAGAAATATTCCGGCGTGTTATATACTGGGGTGATCTGTCTTAGTATTTCTATGCACAAACATGGCAGCACAACTGTTTGGTACAAACCCGAGTAGGACTGTGTTATATAACCACCAGAGAGAGACTTTGTACAAAAGTCGTTTGCTTGGGTACCTCTGTCCCATTCGTGTTTCAACTGTAAAGCAGATGTGTTTGCATGGCTATGTTTCGGTTTGAAGGGTGGGATATGGCGTGAATTTACAGGGTACAGAGGAATAACACCTAAGTCCTCAGGAATGGCAACGTATGGGAAGTTTCATGGGCGAAACAATACACTCTGTTATGTCCATGGTACTGCTCATGTCTATAGGCGACGGTTACCACTTTCCATCAGGTGTGCCGTCAGCTTGTTTGCCATTCTAAGTTGTATAAAAAAAAAATATCAAAATATTCCAACTCACCTCCCGTTTCGTGGCCTTATCTTAATAAATAGTTCACGTAAATGTTCCCTACTCTTAATTCCCGTTAGATTGAATAGCGCAAGATTTCTCACGTGGTCCGCGTATAAACGTTATCTGGACGATACTTGCCGAATACATAAGTAGACGAACTTGTGGCCCCGCCGACACTTTCGGACGAAATGAACAAAATAACGTGACTGTATTCTTATTTTTGTTTTATAGAAAGAGTAAAACGTAATTTGTCGGTTTGCTCTTTTAAAAAATAGGTCGCGTGTTGGATTTAAATATTTGATTTTTAATGTTTATTACTGAATTGTAACTATATAAAGATAGATAGATAATTTATTTACATTACTTACAGCACACAAATTACAATAAAAAAAACATACACAGTAAAAGAGATAAAAGAATGAAAATAAAAAAGCACAAATAAAAAAAAAAACAGAAAAAAACAAAATATATAAACTAACAATCTCCTTTCTTTCCCTTCCTTCATGCGTGTGCCATAGTAACACAAAATGGTCACAACTCAGTTTATTGCTTTGCCCTTAACAGAGCAAAACACTGACATTCTGCTGTGGCCAAGAGTCAGTCGCGAAACTCCTCATTAAAAATAACAATAACAAAAAATATAAATAAAATGCATTGTATGTGTCCATTACATTCGCCTCCATTTGATATTATGTTCTAACTAAATAAATAAATAACAGACACCATTAGGTGAGGGGTAGTCAGAGATCACAACGTTCTAAACACAATGCAATTATGGAATTGGGGGAGGCCTATGTCCAGCAGTGGGCAGTTAATGGGAGATATGAAGATGACGATGTTGAAACACAATGCGAATGAAACACTAATATAATTGTAAAAAGGTTCAGTACGTTAGAGAAAAGAAAATTTCATAGTATTTACATTATTTTCAAATTAAAATTCTCAGACTGATTGTTAGTTCTAGATGCCATACAAAATAGTGATGTCTTTTTAAAAAAAGCTGGTCAACTGCGAGTCGGACTCACGCGACGAGGGTTCCGTACAAAATCATCAAGTTTATTTTTTTTTGTGAAAGAACTACAAATTTACAGTTTTCGGATTTGTTCCCTGACTTGTGCTACTCAACATTGCTTCTTGCCAAATTTTATGATTCTAGACCAACGGGAAACACTGTATAGGTTTCGATTCCCTTTGTGAATGTCAAAATACAATAAAAAGGGTGGAAAGGGATTGTTAGTAATGGGGTCAATTAACTTCATTACTAGCAATATACCCTGGTGGTTGACCTCCTCGTGGTTCTCCCTGGAAACCATCGTGACTAATTCTAATTGAATTCATCAGGATGGGCTAACTGACCTGCTTTCATCCTCATCAGTCATCTATCACTGGTGCCCCGCCAGTGTATACCGATAGAGCAGACGGGGTTACCATACCATTATCACCCATTAAAAAAAAATACAATAAAAAATACAAATGAAATAAAATACAATGCCCTCCCTCCTATTTAGACAGGTTATCAATATTTTGTTGTTATTGTAAAATTCGTAACGTTCAGATAGGCGAAGAGCAGAGGTTAGTACCAAACGGCACTGACCTCTGCTCTTTGCCTATTTACAGTATGGTACCTACTAGTATGACTAAGCAGTCATACTTCCAGTCTAGTCATCCTCTTAAATTGTTTCTTCTATGATATTTTCTAGATTGTTTCCAAGGTCGTTTCTTCTGTTAAATCAATTCGTATAATTTGTTATATATTATAACATAGCTGAATATATCACAAAATCTTCTATTTCTATCCATCCCAATAGTAGATAAGACAGCAATACGACCCAATATGATGTTTACTGTATGCCAATGATAATTATAATGTGAATGCATACAAATATATGTCAGTGATATGTTTATATTATAACGTGACGGTTATCTTTGAGTCCCCTGCGTGATGATGAACGACGAAATAATAAAAATAACAATATTACTGTAATTTGTAATAAAAATAAACATTTTTTACCTTTGGGACTGGTTGGGAGCACTGAACGCTGTTTGGAACAGTGTTTTTATTTGGATAATAAGGTAAATATATATATATTTTATTGTTAAAAGTTTAAATACCACAGGCAGACTTGTATATAAGTTACTTTTTTATGGATGACTAGCGTTCGCCCGCGGCTTGGCCCGCGTGGATCTTGGTTATCGCAATATGCAATTTTTGGAAATAGTAATATTTTAATTTCACCACAACTTCAAAACCAAACGTCCAATTTTAATCATTCAAAGACCAAATATTATCAACATAAACTGTACTTATTGATGAAATAATTTATTTTGATAAGGATTAATAGCATGAGTAAAATAAATGCATTTAAATGTAGTCCAAAATTTTTTTTGATTTTTAAATAAAAGAATGGTTGTTGTGCCTCACACGACATAGATATGTGTCGCGGACTTTTTTGTAGATATTTATAAGATCAATAAATTAGAATACAATTAATTAGAACATTTTATGGTTCTATCTTTTATAGTTTAGGCAGCGTACGCAAAATAAGTAACGTTTCTGGTTGATTTTTTACACCTTGTGTCCGAAAAACCCAATTATTTTACGAAACCCTATTTTTTTCCATAATAAAATTTAGCCTATGTTACTTGCGGATAATGTAGCTTTCGAATGGTGAAAGAATTTTTAAAAACGGTCCAGTAGTTTTTGAGCCTATTCATTAAAAGCAAACAAACATACAAACAAAGTTTTCCTCTTTATAATATTAGTGTAGATAATGGAATGGTAACCCCGACTGCGCTATCGGTATACGCTGGGCACCAGTGAGGGATGATAGGTGAGAATGAGAAGGCCTATCGTGATGAATACACCTGGAATTAAACATAATGGTTTCCAGGGAGGATCGAATGAAGGTCGACCTGACAGGGTATATTGCTAATAATGGGACTCATAGTCCAAATAACTAACAATCCCTTCTCCCCTCCCCCCTATATCCTGTTTTTTCATTGAAATTGTATTAATTACGATGGGCTAACTCACTTGCCTTGGGGGGAAAGGGATTGTTAGTAATGGAGACTGAGAATCCCATTGCTAGCAATATACCCAACCAGGTCGACCTCCACGCGGTTCCCCCTGGAAACTATCATGGTTAATTCCTGATGAATTCATCATGATGGGCTAACTGGCCTGTTTTCATTCTTATCTATCACCCTTCACTGGTGCTCCGCCAGCGTATCCCGTTAGCGCAGGCGGAGCTACCATACCATTTTCACCCATCAAAAAAAATAAAACTTTTTTCATACAATTTTGCGTGCTAAATAGTTATGAGTATTTCCTTTATAACTTCAATATTTATTTTGTTTTATAATTTTTGAACCTTTTTAATGTGTAAAAACTCATTTTATTTATTTATTAATTAAATATAAACGCGTCAAGATATTTAATTAATTACGTGCGTAAGTATATAGATTAATGATAAAAAAAACGCGCCAGTTAATTTGACAATTAGCTGACAAAAAGTTGATTCGTTTTTGAGACTCGATGCTCTATTTATATACCTTTAATGTACGTCGCATAGGTAGGTCGGGAATAGGAAACTACGCTCGTTCGTAACCATATTTGTTTAATACAAAACAAAAGATATAGGTGTTACTACCGTCCACAGTGCAGATAAAAAACTATCCCAACTACCTTACATATTTTAGCAGTTTGCTAGCAGCAGCTTAGCAGTTTGCTATTGAAAGTTGCATAAAAAAAAAAGATTATGTGACTTGACAGTACAGTAATTTTTAATTAATTTATTTAATAAGGTTCACATTCGAAGATTCTTGCTAAAAATATATGTAAGTTTGATTTGTTTTTTCGGCTTATTATTACATTTAAATTAGGTTTAGCGGAGTAAGAATGGATCGAGATAGTTTTTTATATTTGTATTTATGATTTATGATACATTGGACAATTAACTGCTGAATTATTTAACGATAATGATGCTGTATTTATTAATGATTTGTCTTACACTGCATTTGTGTGTACGAAGCCGCTACTCGAAAACATTTCATCTTTATCATCCTTAGAGTACTTGAACTATATAGTCACTCTATTACTGTGTCAGATTTTACATTTTTTTTTATACAACTTAGAATGGCAAACAAGCTGACGGCCCACCTGATGGAAAGTGGTAACCGTCGGGTATAGACATGAGCAGTATCATGGACACGACAGAGTATACTGTTTCGCCCATGATACCCCCTATGCGTTGCCATTCCTGAGGACTCAGGTGTTATTCCTCTGTACCCAGTAAATTCACGCCATATCCCACCCTTCAAACTGAAACACAGCCATGCAAACACAACTGCTTCACGGTTGAAACACGAATGGGACAGAGGTACCCAAGCAATCGACTTTTGTACAAACTCTCCCTCTACTTTAGTGATCTTTCAAATAATTTAACTTACATAATGTTATTTAGTAGCCCTGTGGTCCCAGCATAGAATAGGCTACTCTTTTCTTTCCCGTCGGTGTCGTAAGAGAGGACCAAGGTGATTTTATTAAATTCGAAATTTTATTATTTTATTACAGTAAATTTTATTATATTAGTATATTTTTTTGAATTTCTTTCAAGACGAGTGATGGACAGCATCCCTCTTAAAACATTACCAAAATTTAACTGCAGTTGCTAATTCGCCTGTTAAGCGTGGTAGTTATTGGCAAAACTCCCCTTATAGAGGAGGCCCGTGTTTAGCAGTGGATTATATTTATATTTAGTATATATTTACTTAACCTATGTTTAGCACTACAACTGCCCACTCACTACTTCCTATGCCACTGTGTTAGGTTGACTGGAAGAGATCTCTTTTAGAGATAAGTTCGCCTTTGCTAACATTGTTATTAACTTATTGTTGTTACTGTATGTTTTAGTGCAATAAAGAATATATATATATATATATATATATATATATATATATATATATATATATATATATATATATATATATATATATATATATTTATTTTATAAAATATTATACATTTTTATGTTTTAATTAAACTCTTCCAGATACACGTAAATATGCATTTAATATCACTCGTAATTCTTCTGTTATTATCCTGGCTGTACTTCCGATGGCAAAAAGTGAAGGTGTTCTGGGCGCGTCGGAATGTGCCGCATCATCCGCCGCACCCCATCCTTGGGGGACTCACGTTTCTGCAAAGGGAGAACCCTGTAAGTATGATATTGATATTTGTTATTTATTTACTAATTAAAATAAAAAATATTAATATATTAGTGAATGTAATGAACACACACAATGTATTTTATCTATATTTCTTTTTTTAATTTTTTCTAAGGAATTTTGCGACTGACCCTTGGTCACAACAGAATATCACTGTTTGGCTCTTTTGAGGGTAAAGCAATAAGCTGAGTTGAGACGCGGGTCCCTCTAGAAACTATCATGGTTAATTCCTGATGAATTCATCATGATGGGCTAACTGGCCTGTTTTCATTCTCATCTATCACCCTTTACTGGCGCTCCGCCAGCATATCCCGTTAGCGCAGGCGGAGTTACCATACCATTTTCACCCATCAAAAAAAAAGTTATAATATTTTCAACCCAATTGGCGTAATAAATAGGTATTTAGTTGCAGCCAGCCGTGTGATCTTGGCGTAGAATGGGCTACTACTTCTCCGTGGGTGTCGTAAAAGGCGATAAAGGGAACTTAATGTACAATGGATGGACAGCAGCGTCCTTTTTTAAACCAAAGCCAAACTGCGGTAGCCTACCTGATTGCCAAGCGTTAATTTCGAATAGGGCTAGGCCTATGTTCAGCAGTGGACGGTTATCGGCTCATATGATGACTCACAGCTATGAAATTGTAATATTAATGATCTTAAATAACATACAATTGTGTTTTATATTTCAGGCTGTTTGGATGAAGAGAATATATAAAGAGTTCCGAACTCCATATGTGGGAACTTGGTTGTTTTGGCGACCAGCACTCGTTATCAACTCGCCAGAAATTGCTAGAAGGATATTGGTGAAAGATTCCAATGTGTTTAGGAACAGATTCCTAAGCTCCGGCACTTCCGATCCAATTGGTTCTCTCAACTTGTTCACTGTTAACGTAAGTATAGCACTTTGCAGGTTTCTTTACTGCTTTAGCTTAAAAAAAGGTTCATCTTTCTGCTCTTATCTTAATTATATGGACAGATAGATAGATACTCTTTACTGTTTCCTCCAAAAGATTACAATAGTAAACTTATAGATATAAACAATTACAAGAAATATTATCATAATGAGAAAACAATGGGCGAGCTTATCGCTAAAAGCGATCAGGCAACCTTTGGATGTATATATACATTTTGGAATTGGCGTTATTTATTTATTATTCACTTAAAACATGAGATACATAGTGTAACATATAAAAAACATAAGTACATGTTTTGCCATACATAGGCATGTAAATGTTGGGTCCTTAATACTCCTGTTATTATTTATATTATTATTGTATTTCAGTCTATCTATCTATCCTATTTAAGAGCTGCGCGGTGGAGTTCTTGCCACTCACTACGATTTTCAGCGAGTCTCTTTACCTCTTGATACGACACGACACCAACTCCTTATTTCAGTCAGTGTTAATTAATTGATTTTTATTTATTTATGAAGTCATTATGATTTGTTATGTTTTTATCTATATTAATTAAGGTTCTGACATCAAGTGTTGAGGACCTCCCTCGAGAGAAGAGAGGAATTTTTTTAACTTTTTGTTAACTTTAACAACAAGGATAATTTTTTAAATACAGGGAATCGAATCAATCTTATTCAGAATTGACAATGTGTTAAATTTATGCCAAAAATATTTTCTTTTTAATTTTCTGAACACCAAAAAAAAAAGTCAATTCAGCAACAAATTGTTAACGCACGTGAATGTGTTTTGAATGTACTTCTTCAAAACATTCTCATTCAGCGAATCAATGGTGTTTTCCTATTGATTAACCCAAATTAGATGTTTGCAGTCTAAAACATGGACACCTGAACTGCATTTTCTGTGGCGTCCATTAAGTCCCGTAACATATGAATATGAATTATAATAGATATAATGCATTTTTATATAACAAGCTAGTGGCTTATTTCATAGGAAACGGTAATAGTTACTTATAGACGTGAAGGGTACTTTGGACTTCACAGAATTTACTTTAATACTTTTCATATATTGATATTCCTGAGGACTAAGATGTCCATTATCTTTATTGATTCCATCATTCATTTCAAAACAACCATTTGTTGAAATTATGCAATGAAATCTTCTCGGGCTACGTTCGTAATACACCGCCTATGTAGATAAGATACTTTGATTTTACATTTTTTTAACAATATTGTTATATATTAACTATTTATCTACACTAATATTATAAAGAGGAAAACTTTGTTTGTATGTTTGTTTGGTTTTAATGAATAGGCTCAAAAACTACAGGACCGTTTTTAAAAATTCTTTCATCATTCGAAAGCTACATTATCCACGAGTAACATAGGCTAAATTTTATTTTGGAAAAAAATAGGGTTCCGTAAATTATTTGGGTTTATCGGACACAAGGTGTAAAAAATCAACCAGAAAAGTTACTTATTTTGCGTACGCTGTACTATCACGCGGGCAAGGCCGTGGGCGAAAGCTAGTAATAAATACATGGGTACTACAGTGATTATATGCAGATGTGTACATTATATTCAACGCGCGCGTGACATCCCCGGCGTATAGGCTACGGTAACCCCGTTTAACATTTAACGGGCTGTATACTTGTTTACTATTATACTAGTATAAAAAAATATTAATATATAATATAAATATATGTATCGCATCTCTATATTCAGAAATAATAGAATTGTCATCGTGCCTCCGATCAAACTGTTTATAATTACTCCTCTCCATTCAAAGGTTGCCTGGAAGAGATCGCTCTTGGCGATAAGGTCGCCTATTGTTTTTTCATTGTGATTATTTCTTGTAATTGTTTATGTTTATAATAAGTTTACTATTGTAATCTTTTAGAGTAAACAATAAAGAGTACCTATCTATCTATGTATTAAGAGTATCGGATAATAATATAATAAATAATGTATGCAGTATTACGTAGATAGATGGTTGGATACTCTGTATTGTTACTTTCGAAAGATTACTGTAGCAAATTTATTATAGATACAAACAATTACAAGAAATGATCATACTGAGAAAACAATGGGCGACCTTATCGCCTTATACCTTTGAATGGAAAGGAGTATATTATAAACAGTTTGATCCGAGTCACGATGAAAATTTTGTTATTTTTAAATATATATGGAGATCTAATATATGCAAGATTGCAAGTATATATATATATATATATATATATATATATATATATATATATATATATATATATATATATATATATATATATATATATATATATATATATATATATATATATATATATATATATATATATATATATATATATATATATATATATATATATACATACATATATATACACACCTACATGTATGTAAATCCATAAAAAACAAACTTAAAAATTGTTAAATATGTAAAGAAATAAGTAGGTATATTAACCAGACAAACAAATTACGAAGATGACAACTTGCTCAAATAAAAATTCTTAACTTTTGTTTTAAAACTTGGTAGACATTGTTATAATATTTCATATAAAAATTGGTAAACCATTCCATAGCCGCATACCTTAGTACATATGTATTATATTTTTTGTATACTTTGAAATGTAAAGTTGAATCAGGTGTTCATTTGAGGAAGTCTGAAGTGACAGGTATTGTTATTTCGTTTATTATTAATATTTATCCGTTCATCCACACTTTTTGACTTACAACTCATAATTGGTTGATTTTTATGTAAAGCAATACCTTGGCTCACTGGCCGTTTACATTTTTTTTTTTGCAACTTAGAATGGCGCACAAGCTGACTGTTAAGAATGTATAAGTGACGACGCACCTGATGCAAAGTGGTAACCTATAGACATGAGTAGTACCACGAACATAACAGAGTATACTATTTCGCCCAAGATACCCCCCATGCGTTGCCATTCCTGTGGACTCAGGTGTTATGCCTCTGTATCCAGTAAATTCACGCCATATCCCACCCTTCAAACCGAAACACAGCCATGCAAACACAACTGCTTTACGGTTGAAACACGAATGGGACAGAATTGTCCAAGCAAACGACTTTTGTACAAAGTCTCCCTCTGGTAAATTTAATTTTAAATTTCTATTCTAGGATCCTCTCTGGACGTATATGAGACGACGTCTGACAGTTGTATTTACAGCAGCGAAATTAAGAGCTCTTCAAAGACTCATTACCACAAAGACTGAGCAATTATGCGAAAGAATTAGAAGCGATGTATCACAAAACAAATTGATCGATGTCAGAGTAAGGATCAGTTATCTGTATTATAATTAAATTTTTTTAAGAACCTTAGATACTAGGAAAAAGTATATAGATAGGATTAAGAGAGATAGATAGATAGACGCTCCTCCAAAAGATTACAGGAGTAAACTTATTATAAATACAAACAATTACAAGGATTTCGGTTTTCGAATTCAATTCTTTTTTTTCTATGCAACTTAGAATGGCAAACAAGCTGACGGCCCACCTGATGGAAAGTGGTAACCGTCGCCTATAGACATCAGCAGTACCATGGACATAACAGAGTATACTGTTTTGCCCATGATATTCTTCATGCGTTGCTATTCCTGAGGACTCAGGTGTTATTCCTCTGTGCCCTGTAAATTCACACCATATCCCCACCCTTCAAACCGAAACACAGGCATGCAAACAACTGCTTTACGGTTGTACAAAGTCTCTCTCTTTGTCTTGTTAGTTATACGAACATTATAGTTTTCTTTTTTAATTTAAATATAATGAAATAAAAGAAAGTGAACATGTTACACTCAATAGTAACGATCCAATAAAAAAATATTATTTCTGTCTGTCCTACTAGTATTTCTTTCTTCCAGTCCTTATTTGCTGATTATACCACAGACATGATCGGAGCAGCTGCATTTGGTTTAAACGACAACGCTACCATTACGGGTGAAAGTCCTTTGAGGCACGTTACAAAAACATTTATGAGGTACAATCTGTATAGAGGCTTGTCGTGGTCAAGCATTTTCTTTTTACCCGAAATGGTCGATGTATTTAGGTAAGAATAAAGTGAGAAATTGGAATTTTTATCAGGACGAGGCCCCATCATCTGAATAATCCTATTGTTATATTCTATCGGTATATTTTACGATGAAATATATTTTAGATATTTATTTAAATAGATTAAAATGCTGAATTTACTTTAACAATATTAAAGGAATATCAATTAATGGTATTGGTTTATTAAAAACCTTCATAAATGCTTAAAAAAATCTTATAATAATTGAATTTCGAAACTCTTTATAAGGTATAATGAAATTTGTGATTTGCCTTATTATCATCATGCATAAAGTATTATGTATAGATACTTGTTGGAACTTCAAATTCGTCAATGAGTTTAGACTATTTTTTTCCTTGTGACATAATGGCTATTTTTTACTTGTCTCTTTCCTTTTATCTTCTATATTTAAATTTTTTTTTAAGCTGACAAGACACAGTTCGTTTTAGATTTTCTCTTATTTGCTATTTTTTAATAAATATAAAATAACCGTCTTCTTTTTTCTTCATCACAGTCACGTAATTTTAGAACGTGAATTACATTCTAATTATTGCACGGACAAAATGGAATAATTTTGAATTTTCGTCATTTATAGGTTCTCATTTTTTCCAAAGAATTCAATAGACCATATCAAAAAGATCTACCGTGCAGTAGTTAAAGAACGAGGTGATTTCGAGTATGGTATTAGCGAAATCAATGATCTTTTGGATGTTTTACGCAAAATAAAATATGACGCTGTTCAAAACAGAGAAGGTAATTAATATATTATAGCGATATTACAGAAGAGTAATGCATACATACATATCTGTCACGCCTGTCTCCCATTAGGGTAGGCAGAAACAATGGAACGCCAAATGTTTCGATTCTAACAAGCCTCTTTCGCTTCCTCTACATCTATCAATCTTTTCATACACGCTCACCGGCTATGGGTACTTTCAATTTGGTCCTTCTTTAGCACGTCATCTTTTTGGTCGACATACGTTCATCTAGGTCTACCCCTACCGACACATCCATTACATCTTGCTTGATAAATCTCTTTGGTTATTCTTCTTTCATCCATCCTCTCCAAATGGCCAAACCAAGAGTAATGCAGTGGTTTATTAAATCTGGTGTTAATTTAAATTTCATAGTGGATAATAAACTATATTATCAGAGGGATATCGTGAAGCAGTTGTGTTTGCATGGCTGTGTTTCGGTTTGAAGGGTGAGATATGGCAGTGAATTTACAGGGTACAGAGGAATTATACCTGAGTCCTCAGGAATGGCAACGCATAGGGGCTATCATGGGCGAAACAGTATACTCTGTCCATGGTACTGCACATGTCTATAGATGACGACTACTAATTTCCATTACCTGATGAAAAGTGGTAACCTATAGACATGAGCAGTACCATGGACATAACAGAGTATACTGTTTCGCCCATGATACCCTCATGCGCTTAATGCGTTCCTGAGAATTCAGGTGTTATTCCTCTGTACCCCGTAAATTCACGCCATATCCTACCCTTCAAACTGAAACACAGCCATGCAAACACAACAGCTTAACGATTGAAACACGAATAGGAGAGAGGTGCTTAAGCAAACGACTCTTTTGTACAGTCTCCCTCTGGTAATATAATATATTATTATCGAAACGTTACATAAAATATTATGAATTTGTATTGTAACTATGAAATAAATATAGGTTGAAACATTAATTTACAGAAATAACCGAAGATATGCTTGTAGCGCAAGCAGCCATCTTTCTTTTCGGCGGCTTTGACACAACAGCAGTAGCTGTGACGTATGCTACATGTGAATTGGCGTACCATACTCACATACAGGTGAAATGTATACTTTTACTACGACATTTAATGCTAATAAACACTTTTGATTTTATTTATTTATTTTTAAAAGGTACATCAACAGTGTAGATACAGACATTAATTTTAATTGATATACAGGGCTTGCAATTTGCATTTACACCAATTACAGATGTAGACAACATTTTCTTAAGTCATCCATTATTACATATTAACAAAACTGACATCAACAAAACAATAAACAAACATACATGTGATAACATAAGAATACTTAAAATATATAATTATTAAAATTGTGCACTGTTCTACAGTGCACACAGAATTAAAATTATTGGTTGTGGAAAAATTATGGTAGTATTACGAGAGAACTTTGATTTATTAAACATTTAGCAATTACCTATTTACGTATCATTATCATCACCTTTTCTATTGTATTATGCACAGGAAAAACTTTATAATGAGCTTCAAGAAGCGAAGAAAAGAAGAGGCGGTAGGGAATTGGATGCAAATGCACTAAGTGAGATAGATTACCTAACTTCTGTTATTAAAGGTAATAATTATCACTGAGTCCTAATAATTCTATAGAGATTATAAGATAATAGTAAAATGAATCATTATTATATAACATAATATTATAAATAATAAAAAATTGTGGAAGAAGCGAAAGAGGTTTGTTTGAATCGAAGCATGTGGCGTTCCATTGTTTCTGCCTACCCTAATGGGAGACAGGCGTGACAGGTATTAAAAATTGTGAAGCACAAAAAATCTACTTTATCTTTTACTTACTTTATCTTGTTATTTTGGTTTAATAACTAAAATATTGGAACGATTTTGATAAAAAAAATCTATTGAACCATTCTGTAATCTGTAAATATATACTTTAAAATAATAAAAAAAGGATTTTCCAAATTTGTTTAGAACCGACGGAGTTATTAGGTAATAGACATGAAAAAAATATACAACTGAATCGAAAATCTCTCTCTTTTTGAAGTCAGTTGTAAATATATATTTTTATATCAAGTTTCCCAATTCTATTTCAAATTCAAAATGGAAAAAAATATAGTATATAGTTATTATATAGTATATAGTTACATAAGATTTTATACCATAATTGTTTCAGTTATTAAATTTTATTAATAAGGATTAATTAAATTGACCGTTTAACTAAGAATTTTGTTTGTTCAGGTGTAATGAATTTTATTGGTTGGATCTCCGAACAATATTTCTGTGTATTTGGTTCTTTATATGGTATTAACGTATTGTATCCGTATTTAAACGTTACGTATAATATCGCGTGGTCCCGGCATAGAATGGACCAACACTTCCTTTCCCGTGAGTGTCGTAAGAGGCGACTAAGTGACGGCGAGGGATGGGTAGCAAATACCCTTTTAAAACACCTCTAAAGGCCTGACAAGCGTAGTAACTAATGGCAAAACTCCCCTTATGGGAAATGGCTTATGTTCACCATGTGGACAGTTATTGGCTGAAATAATAATAATAATAATAATAAAGACTAACGTATTAATATAATAAGTTTATAATTAAGACTCTTTGTTCGTTATTTATCATTTTACATAGTAACAAAACAAACATTTGTTATATTAACGACTCCGTGGCGTAGTGGTGAGCCAATTTAGGAAATAAACTTTTCTGAACAGCTTGGGATTTAGGTGTTCTGGATTATGTCCTTATATATTCGTATATTTTGCCTTATTCCTCATAAAACAATGTCCTAACTTGAGGACTAGGCAATTGGTGTGAGTTCCTATTACTTATTGTCATTTTTATTTATCAGAAACATTGAGAATGTTCCCTTCAATGGGCTGGTTAGACCGGATTGCGTCTACGGATTATAAAATTGATGACAATCTCACAATCCCAGCTGGCACTCCAGTGTATGTGAATGCTATTGGGATGCATTACGATAATATCTATTACCCAAACCCAGAGATCTTTGATCCTGACAGATTTATGCCTGAAAACGAAGCAAAATTAACACCATTTACTTATATGCCTTTCGGAGGAGGTCCAAGGAATTGTATAGGTAAGATTGTTTTGCATTTTAAATAATTTAAAAACCTAACCATTTATAAACTACGTGAACGTGTACAGTGTCAATAGTTTTAGAGGAGATTTCATTATTGAAGGCTTAGTTTAAAGGTTTCCTACTGACTACAGAATGAGGTTTTTTAAAAAAGTGTAAAATCGTTCCTTCAGGTTCAATAACGTGCAAAATACACCACAGAATAGCGGCAATCTTTAACAATCACGCGAGTTATACGTTTGCTAACTTAGTGGTATAAAATATTATAATATAAATGAATATATTAAAATAAGTAATCTCATTAGAATGATTTGAAGAGAATATATTTTATTTTTTAAATGAGGATCATTTACAGCCGTTGTTGGACTCTTGGAGTTTTCTTTGGTTTGGCTACTTGTTGGATTGTTACTTGTCATCGAATGAATCATTATACTTATTTGCCAAAATTAGTCTACCTGGAATGGCATTTGGATTAAAAATACTCTGGACGTCACTAGCTTTATCTTAATATGATGTGTGATTATTTTATTGTTGTCAGGTCAACGTTTCGCTTACAATACGATGCGTAATACTTTGGCTTCTGTCGTCCAAAATTTCAAGATTCTTCCAATATCTGACTTTCCGAAACCAGAAGAGTGTTCGATAGAAAAAAGAGGTATGTTCCTCGCGCCTGACCGTCCTCTCTCCGTGCAGTTTATACCCAGATGCTAACATTTCTTATCGTTAACATTAGATTGACGGTTAGCTCGTGGTCTAATAAGTTCTTGTATCAAGAGATTTAATATAATTTATGACTTTTCAACATTAGACATTTTTACTTTTATCTCTTCGTCTATTTTTCCTTTTAGGTATAAATAATTCTTTTTAACTATTAGCTAGTGGAACTATTGAAATAACATCATTGACAGACATGATAAAACATCTTAGTTTTCTGGTTTGAATATGGCAGTAAAATTGCTAAATACTGTGAATCCCATAAAGGTCGGCAAAGCGTGAATAACGCATTTTTGCAGCAGTCGCTCCATTTATGTATGATTTAATGCCAAACTTAGTTAACAAATAAAACACTTGAATAAAAATAATTAAAACATTTATAATAACTTTGAAAATATATTTCTTAATACAAGATCAAATTAAAAAATAATTTCATACTTTTAAAATAGTATTTTAAACAGCATAGGGTTCTTTTGAGGTAAAGAGATTTCTTCTGGGTCGGCAACGCGCCTGTAATACCCATGGTATTGCAGGTGTTCGTAGGCTACGGTAACCGCTTACCATTAGGTAGATCATATGCTTGTTTGCCACGTCAGGGATATAAAAAAAGTTTAAGTTTTACTTAAGTGTTCTCTCCGTCAAACTAAATGTTTATCTCAATGAAATATGGACCAAAAAATGTCAAAAATGTTAATTCTTCCATACTAACACACACCACCTCATCTGTTAGTATGAAAAGTTTATTTATTGTTACTGTTGGTAAATATAGTCAGTTTTCCTGGTAGAAAACTCCTTTAAAAACATGATAATGATTTCGATTAAAAATCAGCGCTACAAGATCCCCTACATCGCGGTCGGTGTACAAACGGCCTCGGCTGTACGATGTATCGCACAATCAACTCGCCGCCACCAGATTAATGGACAATTAACTTCTAGATTTGTTACGTCTGTGCTCCATGCGTTGGATTTAATACGTTCTCTTGTTGCCTAGTATCACTAGCTATTAATGATAATAGTTCAAGATTGTATTCCAGAAAAATAAAAACCGAATTCAATTATGGCAATACCAGTTTTTTGCTTCAAAAACTAAATTAATTAACCAATTGCGATAACATTTTCTTAACAGATGAAAAAATAACAAATCGGTTTATAATTATATATACATATATATATATATATATATATATATATATATATATATATATATATATATATATATATATATATATATATATATATATATATATATATATATATATATATATATATATATATATATATATATATATATGGTTCTTTGTTCTTATTTTATTTAAATTATTTTTACCTGTACCTTTCCTGCACTAGATTATCCTTCAATAATTATTTTCTCTCTACACTGGGTCCCTTGCTATATATATATATATATATATATATATATATATATATATATATATATATATATATATATATATATATATATATATATGTGTTATTTTTTAAATTGTTTTAATTTAATATTAATAATAATAATATTCTTTATTATCAGGTACTTAACTTATAGAGGTACAATTGTATTGCAACGTGCTCGGCTAACATATAAAAATGTAACAATCAAAACATACTAAAAAAAAAAACATAAAAATTAAAATATGTAGAAAAAGTATGTAAAAATTAAAATATTGTTCATTACGTTGCACCGTCAATTATATTTTCTGTTATTCCTGTCTAATGTCTGTAGAATATCGATCTAGATGTAGCATTATTGTCTTTGCCTATTAAGGAATTATTAATATAGATTCAAAATGAATCTACACTAATATTGTAAAGAGGAAAGATTTGTATTTTTGTGTGTATGTATGTTTGTAATGAATAAACCCTAAAAATTACTTTGCCGATTTCAAAAATTCTTTCACCATTATAAAGCTTCATTCACCCTGAGTAACATAGGCTATATTTATTGCTAGAAAAGATTACGGAACCTTACTAAAACTTTAGTAACGTAACTTAAGGTGTAAAAAAATGCTATAAAATATATTTCGTCGCGTGCGCTGCGGAAACTATTGGTGATAGAACAAAAGTATGTTCTACAATATTGAAGAAAATATCAATTACTACAAAAAACATAGTGATATTATATGTCCAACTATTATCGTTATGTCACAATAATCACTTTTAAAATGTTGTAAAAATATCCACCCATGCGAGGCCGGGACTGGCCGCTAGTGTTATATAAAACCTTATACGTAAAAATCGGGAAAATGCTCAAATCCTGTAAAATACATTCATATCGCAAACTTAGCAGCAAAGATATATCGATGCAATATCCGAATAAAATGTCAAAGGCGATAAATCATAGCCACTCTTTGGAATACAGAGTAATATAACCGCAGCCAAGCAATATGGGAAGACAGCACAGCGTGAAACAATCCTGAGATTAGACATGTACCTTATGAATAAATCTATTTATCTAGCCATAGTGAGATTTTATATAAAATTCGTTTGCTAAAGCTTAAAGGCATTTCCATAATGAAACAGTTGTGTTTGTACGGCTTACAGTTGTTGCCACATTTGGCAGGCGGGTTGGCAATCGCAGTTAAATGGGGGGAAAGGGATTATTAGTAATGGAGACTAAGAATCTCATTGCTAGCAATATACCCAACCAGGTCGACCTCCTCGCGGTTCTTCCTGGAAACTATCATGGTTAATTCCTGATGAATTCATCATGATGGGTTAACTGGCCTGTTTTCATTCTCATCGATCACCCTTTACTGGTGCTCCGCCAGCGTATCCCGTTAGCGCAGGCGGGGATGGGGGGGGGGGCGCAGTTAAATGCAGCTGTCCATCTCTCGATCATTAAGTTCCATTAGTCGTCTTTTACGATACTTCCGGGAAAGGAAGGGGTGGCCCATTCTATGGCGGGACCACAACGCATATAATACCATAATAATAATACCGTAGTACTTTAGAATGCAACGGATGAGATGTACTATGGGCACCATAGTTTATAGCTCATTGATGAAGCTCAGTGATGACCATGTCTCTGATTATGTCTGAGTGATTGTCGACGCATGCGATCCTTGTCCAACTTCAGTGGACACATTTAACTTTTACTGTCATGGATGTCCTAAAAATTTCTAAAATGTTTTTTGCGGACACTATTTTTTTATACAACTTAAAATGGCAAACAAGCTGACGGCCCACCTGATGGAAAGTGGTAACCGTCGCCTATAGACATGAGCAGTACCATGGACATAACAGAGTATACTGTTTCACCCATGATACCCCCCATGCGTTGCCATTCCTAAGGATTCAGGTGTTATTCCTCTATACCCAGTAAATTCACGCCATATGCCTCCCTTCAAACCGAAACACAGCCATGCAAACACAACTGCATCACGGTTGAAACACGAATGGGACAGAGGTACCCAAGCAATTGACTTTTGTACAAAGTCTCCCTCTGGTACAGTACTGTAATGCTGAAATCACATTTGTTGAAAATCAGTAATACACATACAAGTGACCGTGACATCTTTCCATCAGGTGGGTCGTTATTAATAAATCAGCTCGTTTGCTATCCATTTTCATATAAAAAAAACAACATAATGATATGTAGGTACATACGCCTCCATTGTTATTTGAGAATTTCTTTTATGGATAAATTCTAAAAATAAGCGTTCGACACTTTCGGTTCGTGATCAAGTAGACGCGGGCCCGGCGCGTAATGTAATGTATTTTATAAAAAAAAATATTTAAATCAATTCAAGGGTGCCAAATTACGATTGCTACAAGCATCCTCCTTCATTGTTGATCAGTTTGCTGAATGTGTAATTCTTTTGTTTCCTTTCAAAGACAAAGTATTTTTAAGCGACTTATTATTGGGTACGTGTGTGCGTGTGCACGCGAGCTGTTGTGTTTATGCGTGCGTGCGTGCGTGCGTGGGTGCGTGGGTGCGTGCGTGCGTGCGAGCAAGCGAGCGTGCATGTGTGTCTGTAAACACACACATGTGTGTATGTGTACTCAACAGTGGACGATAAATAAAGCGACTACAAAAATTTTTAAAGTTTACTGTGGTGTTGGTTTCATCCCAATTACTAAGCGACTGTATATATTTTTTTTTGCTTTTACATGTGACAGATTCGTAAAATTTCGATTGTGCAATTCGACGAATATTGTTATCACGTTGAAACGATTTGTAAAATACTTAAGGCCAAACAGCTTTTTTATAATTTATTTCTTTCTATATGGTGATGGAAAATACCGTTTACAAACTAAATCAATTCGATTAACAGTATGTACGTAAGATTATAATATTTTTCAGCGAAAAGTGGGCACAGATATCCCCATATTGTGCAAGCGATAACTTTAATAAAATGTCTAGAGATCTCGATTTAGATTTATTTTATTCTAAGATAGAATCCGCAAGACGTATGCTGGAGTCAGAGATTCTTTGATATTTCATTTTTCAACGCCTGAGTTTCAACTTTTTCTTCTACTTACCTACAATATATATATATATATATATATATATATATGTATATATATTGTCAAATTAACTGACTCGACTTTTTATCAGCGTTCTATATACTTACGCACATAATGGTATCTTAACGTATCTATATTTATATTTAATTAATAAAATGAGTTTTTACGCTTTAAAAAGATGCAAAAATTATAAAATAAAATATATATAGAATTAAAAAAAATCACTCGATAACTATTTATCACGTCAAATTGTATGAAAAGTTGACACGCTTTTCTCGGAGCATTTGTATGGAGACACTGTATCTATATAAACTAAGGTATATACTTATAACTTCACATTTGCTATTGTTTGTACATATTAGCACTGACATATATTTATTTATTTATTTATTATCTCCACTGGGTGAGCCTTACAGTCTTCCAATACGCTCACCCAGGAAAGCATGAGTACAATAATATATAAAAAAAGGAATATTACACACATATAACAAGAATAATATAAAAAAAACAAAAACGTCTGAACACAAATACTCTGTGGTCACTCGCCGAAACTCCAGCAAGTCGGAGGCAAATACATCCAATTGCGGATACTGGCTCAAAATATCATTGAGTAGTTTTAATATG